ACCCATATGAGGAATATAGGAATTCAAATTAAATGGTATAAAAGAGTCACTAATGTAGAGCTTTGGCACAGAACTAAACAAGTTCCAATGGATTAGGAGATTAAGAAAACATGCTGGTACTGGATAGGACATGTGTTGCAAAAACCTGAGAACAAAATAACTAGAATGATTTTGCACTGGAACCCACAGAGGCATAGAAATAAAGGCAGACCCCCCAATAAAAATGGAGTAGGGAGCTGGTTGAGGGCCTATGCTCCATTGGGGTATAAAAGGCAGAAAACAGAAGAACAACAATTTAAAAAAAAAGGGTAATTTATGCTTTTTTTTTTTTTTTATAGTTGCGTTTCCTTTTTAGAAGATGTTGGAAGTCAACACCAGCAATTTTTGGCTGTCCTACTATGAATATTTATGTTTCCTTAGTTTGCCATTGCCATCTGGATGGTCAGATCTTTGCTCCATTGTCATTATTGCTACTGGCTTTTCTTTTCTGAGACTGCAGTCTATGTCCATTTTTTTTTATGGGGTGGTATTGGAAATGTGGGTCGGGGAAAGTCTCTTAGTTACATTGACTGCATGGTTAACTGGAGGTTGATCAGCGATGACTGGGTAGCAGACGGCGCCAAGTGGTGCCCTCATTGCATTGCCTTTCTGATTGTCTAACCACCATCTCAGCTTTCCCTACAGTGTTGAGCATCAGCCAGATGTCCTAGTCACTCCTGACAACACCACTCTCCTCAGACCATGATCATCTGTGTGGGCCTCTGCACTGTTCACTCTCTCCCACAGGACCCTTACCACATCAAGCTTCTTTCATGTATCAGACAACGCCTAACACCCCCCTCCCCCACCCCTTTGCAATGTATAAGAACCCTCATGTATAAGATCACTTCTGGTTTTTTTAAGAAAAAAAAAAGAAAGAAAGAAACAGTGTAAACACATTCGTGTATTTTATGATGCCCAAATTAAACTGGAAAAAACATATCGTTTTGTACATTGCCATCTGGATAGTGGCTGGCCAAATCTTTAAAACGCTGAGCTCTTAAGAGGTCGAATCCTTAGTAAGGCTGGCAATTTTTTTTTTTTAAAGTCAGGGGGCACAAAAATCCTCACTTTCACAGTCATAGCGACAGTACTAGCTACACAGCCGTAAATCCTCAGGCTCGAAGACTCCCCTGCCTACACCGCAAAAGTGGTGTAATAAAGGCAGTTGTTGGCAGTTTTTTGGCCATCTGGTTGGTCAGCACGTGGTACCACTGTCGTGTTTGTTACTGGCTTTGCTTTGTTTAGATTGCAGTCTGTGTTTGTTTGTTCACAAGGGACAGTAATAGGCATTCTGTGTTTGTTTGTTTTCTGGCAGAGGATTGGAGCACCTGGGAGGTGGGTAGGGGGGGGGGGGTGACCCCTTTGCTCTGGTGTTGGAACTGTCATTACTTGATTTGGTTGTGTAATCCTTACAGGACATTGCAGAACCAACCCCATCCTTTATTTTATTTTTTTTGTCAGTTGTTATCTTTTCAGAGAAAATTTACATTCAGTAGTTTGCCACTGCTCTCAGTACCACTCTTGAAAATCAAAGCAAGACAGTCTGCAGATGGGATCAAACCCGGCACCCTGACATTATAAGGTGCGTTCACAATGCTTAAGCCACAGACGCTGACATTACCTGATTATCATTATCAAAATTAATGTACAAGCAGTCTGCTGCCAAACTTACTCACAGCTGGAATATAACCATGTATAGAAATTACAAACCAGGTTCACAACCCCCTAAGCCACAGACACCTTCAGTGCTTTGTTTATGCATAATAACTCAATAAATGAATAAATATAAACATATTAAAATGAACTTTTAAGGGAATGCGGCAATAAATACTTTCAAATATTCCTACTAAAAGTATTACAAGATTTATGACAGTTGTACAGTAATATTTATATTTAAGTAATTATCAAGAAACAATAACAAATTTACATAACACAGTTATCAATCTAAGCAGACATTACAGGAGCTAAACATAAGCAATAATGCTGGAATTTCTGAACAACGCCAAAAACTCATGATGGGGTTAAAAACCCAGTAAATACAAATGAACAGTGTGTTATTTACAGTGAATGCAGATAAATAACTGTTATTTTTACTGGCTTCCACTGATCATGAATTTGTTTAACCAGGTCTTTTTTTCGTGACACACAAATGTCGATACTCACTGCCTAGTGTCTATTAAAAAAAAAACAAAAAAAGTGCCAGTACTTGTTGCAAAGTGTCTATTACATCAGCATTGAAAACAAATTATGCCTTTAAAAAAAAAAAAGACAGATTTATTACTGTAAGAAAGAAGAAGGTAAAAATTCTGGCAAGATTAGGAGACATTGTTTGGAGTGAGAGTTATCTTCAGTAAAACTTAGGGAATACAAAATACTTTTGTTCTTTGCAGTTTTTTTTTCTTTTCTAATTTCTGTGTGTATGTGTGTGTGTGTGTCTGTGTATGTGTGTGTGTCTGTGTATGTGTGTGTGTGTCTGTGTATGTGTGTGTGTGTCTGTGTATGTGTGTGTGTGTCTGTGTATGTGTGTGTGTGTCTGTGTGTGTGTGTGTGTGTCTGTGTATGTGTGTGTGTCTGTGTATGTGTGTGTGTCTGTGTATGTGTGTGTGTGTGTGTCTGTGTGTGTGTGTGTGTCTGTGTGTGTGTGTGTGTGTGTGTGTATGTGTGTGTGTGTGTGTGTCTGTGTGTGTGTGTGTGTCTGTGTGTGTGTGTGTCTGTGTATGTGTGTGTATGTGTATGTGTGTGTGTGTCTGTGTATGTGTGTGTGTGTCTGTGTATGTGTGTGTGTCCTGTGTATGTGTGTGTGTGTCTGTGTATGTGTGTGTGTGTCACTGTATGTGTGTGTGTGTCACAGATGTGTGTGTGTGTCTGTGTGTGTGCATGCACGTGTGCATACATATGTGTGTGAGTCCTGTGTATGAAAGTGAAGGTCTGTGTATGTGTGTGTGTGTCTGTGTATGTGAAAACTGTGACTGTGTATGTGTGTGTGTGTCTGTGTATGTGTGTGGTGCTGTGTGTGTGCATGCACGTGTGCATACATATGTGTGTGTGTCTGTGTATGTGTGTGTGTCTGTGTATGTGTGTGTGTGTCTGTGTATGTGTGTGTGTGTCTGTGTATGTGTGTGTGTGTCTGTGTATGTGTGTGTGTGTCTGTGTGTGTGCATGCACGTGTGCATACATATGTGTGTGTGTCTGTGTATGCGTGTGTGTGTGTCTGTGTATGTGTGTGTGCATGCACGTGTGCATACATATGTGTGTGTGTCTGTGTATGTGTGTGTGTGTCTGTGTATGTGTGTGTGTGTCTGTGTATATGTGTGTGTGCATACATATGTGTGTGTGTCTTCTCCCTATTTGGATCTGTCTGAGAGCTCACAAGTGCTAGCATGTTAGTTGTATTCTAAACAAAGGTCATATACCAAGCAAAGTTTGCATGTCTAAACAGGAAATATGCCAAGTTGGACTTAATAATAGTGGAGGAAAACTGAGGTATCACTGTATGTTACATTAAGATTGTAATATTGCAGTTCACTGAACTATATATAGATTAATGACCACACTGATAACAAATGTAAAGGATGGCACAGAACGTGAAAGATAGCACAGAAAATGAAGGATAGCACAGAAAGTGAAGGAAGGTGCCAAAAGTGAAGGATGGCACAGAAAGTGAAGGATAGCACAGAAAGTGAAGGATAGCACAGAAAGTGAAGGATGGCACAGAAAGTGAAGGATGGCACAGAAAGTGAAGGATAGCACAGAAAGTGAAGGATGGCACAGAAAGTGAAGGATGGCACAGAAAGTGAAGAATGGCACAGAAAGTGAAGGATGGCACAGAAAGTGAAGGATAGCACAGAAAGTGAAGGATAGCACAGAAAGTGAAGGATGGCACAGAAAGTGAAGGATGGCACAGAAAGTGAAGGATGGCACAGAAAGTGAAGGATGGCACAGAAAGTGAAGGATGGCAAGAAAGTGAAGGATGGCACAGAAAGTGAAGGATGGCACAGAAAGTGAAGGATGGCACAGAAAGTGAAGGATGGTGCAGAAAGTGAAGGATGGCACAGAAAGTGAAGGATGGCACAGAAAGTGAAGAATGGTGCAGAAAGTGAAGGATGATGCAGAAAGTGAAGGATGGCACAGAAAGTGAAGAATGGTGCAGAAAGCAGTGGAAGACAGGAGGGCGGGTGTGCTCGGTGAGAAAATAGCTGTTACATTCATTTAACATTTTTGTGTGTGGAGGGTGGGGGGTGGGGGGGGGGAGAATGATTATTTACTTATACCTTTACTGAAAATGTTACTATTGATTAATTGTATGCAGGAATGGCAGTTGTTTTAATGGTATGTATGTCATTGTTTCCTTTTAGAACTGCTGTCTGTAAGACAACTATCTCAAAAAGTAGTTATTTTAGGGTACTTAACTCTTTTAGCCCCCAATAAAGTATGTTATTAGAAATTGTCCATTTGAATCACCACAACACATTGTGTGTTATTATATTTTACAATATTTAGTCCGTGTGTACTAAAGAAATCTGGCTAAATATTTTACTATGCAGCGCAGTATGCGTTGTGTCTTTGAATGTGACACACTGAGGCTTTCTCATTACGGTTATTGTGCCAGATTGGGATAGCAGTGAAATCAACTGGGACTGAAAGAATTAACAGTTACATATTAATGTGATGCCCAGATAGGACTGGGAGTCCGGAATTTTTTTTTACTGAAATGTTTTGTTCAGTGGGTAGCATTCACATCATTTCTTAATGAGAGACAATCTTATAAATATGTTATTGATAAATACGTAGTTAAATTGCATGTTGTATGTGGGTGTTTTTTTTTTTTTTTTTGTACACATAAAATAGATCTACAAATGCTAACTATCTGTATCTATCCACTAATATCACATATTAACTGGACTTTCTGAAGGGAGATAATGCTTTTTATAGCCATTCAAGACAATCAGATCTGCTGATTATCTCCCATCAATCAATCTGCCAGCTGTGTCTTCTGTTGGAGATGTGATGGGACTGCATGCTGAATTTCTCTTGTCCCCATCAGGGTCAATCGGTATCTCCTCGATTCGGTTTTTTCTAAGTGTAGCAAAAATGTCTTTGAAAAGAGCCTTGTATGGTGGGATGTTGCCGCTGTCTTGGTAGTAATCACGGTTAAGAGTGATGTGGAGCAAGGTTTGAACCTCTTTATGGGCCAAACGCTGGCAGGAGTCATCATCTCCTTCTTTCTTGCCTTTACTCTGTAAAATCAATAGAACAAAGCACAAAACAAATGTACCAGGATGTATAAGAAAGAATGACTAAAACTATATGTACACTATTCCCTGTGTGGGTTCCGGAGCCCTATTATAGGGGGTAAAAAGAATGGATCCACTGCCAATCCAAAACCAAGTCATAGGACTAACTGGGAGCTTCCTTCAAAGTGGGAGTTCATCTGCCTGAGAGGCAAGGAACCAGAAAGTCTGCATACAAATGAGTCAGATTTGTAAAACGAATGCACACACAACACTCTGGTTCTGGAACAGGACTATGTTCCAAAAGTAGATAAACAACCAGAACTTTCTGCCAGAATTTACAGCTGGTGAATGTGAAGAAGAAGAAGAAAAAGATATGTACATTACAACCATTTGTTAACTCCTGCCTGCTCAGAAGACAAGATGGTTTGGTTATATGACAAAAATGATTTGGTACCAACTGTCAGACTGAAAACACACAAAAAGTGGAAGACCATGCAACAAGATGGTATAACCATATCTAGAACAGTCTTAAAGAAATTAAGAACTTTTGCAAGACATTAGAAGGAGCATGAAAAAGATCCTTACCCAACATTCTGATGAGGTAACGGAAAAAAGAGAAGAAGCAGAAGAAAAAGAAGCAAAAAGAAGGCACAGAATGCGGAGAATGAGGAGGAAAAGAAGGAGGAGGGAAAGAATAAGAAGAGAGGAGGAGGAGAAGAAGAAGCAGCAGCAGGAAGAAGCTGGCTTAGAAGAGTAGAAATAAAATGGTATGACAACTAGCAAGACACCAAGCTAATTCCAGCAAAGTAAGAAGTCATCGAGAGTAACTGGCACTGGATAGGATACAGTGAGAAAATCTGATAATAGTGTAACAAGAATGGTCTATTATTGGAACCTCCCGAGCACAAGAGATAGAGAAAATTTGAAAACAGAGAGAAGAGATGAATAATATAAGATAGGAGGACTTGGCATGAGTTGGTGGAAGCCTAGGCTTTAATATGGGGGTAAAGGAAAGAAAAAGAAGAAGAGTACAGGATGTTTGTCCTTCTTTTGAAATTCTCCCTGGGACCTAAGTATTGGTCACAATCACTGTGACTTAACAATAAACTCAACAATTTAGGGACAACGGCAAATCAGTTTTAAAACTGCACACAATGAGGACACAAAACTTTAACAATGGAAAAAATACAACTTGACAATGGAAGAAATACAGCTTCAGAATGGAAGAAACACAACTTGACAAGGGAAGAAATACAGTTTGAGAATGGAAGAAATACAGCTTGAGAATAGAAGAAATAACAGCTTGAGAATGGAAGAAATACAACTTGAAAATAAAAGAAATACATCTTGAGAATGGAAGAAATACAACTTGACAATGGAAGAAATACAACTTGAAAATAAAAGAAATACATCTTGAGATTGGAAGAAATACAACTTGACAATGACATAAATACAACTTGAGAATGGAAGAAATACAACTTGACAATGGAAAAAATACAACTTGACAGTGGAAGAAATACAGCTTGACAACTGAAGAAATACAACTTGACAAAAAAAAAAATACAACTTGACAATGGAAGAAATACAACTTGACAGTGGAAGAAATACAACTTGACAGCTGAAGAAATACAACTTGACTATTTAAGAAATACAACTTGACAATGGAATAAATACACTTTGACAATGGAAAATATAACCTGATAAGGGATGCAATGAAAGCAATACAATTTAACACACAGAACGTATTTAATAGTAGTCATTTTCACAAAATTATCCTGCTTGATACTCAGAGTATAACTGTGATATAAAGTTTTCTTTTGATGACAGAAATATAACTTTCCAACTGAGATAAATACAGTTTTAAAACATTGCAAAATACTATACACATCAAAGACCCACAGTCACACACCTCAACTTTTAACATGGAAGACTCCCAAGCACACTTCTTTCTTCTTCTTCTTCTTCTTCTTCTTCTTCTCCTCTTCCACCTTGTACCTCAGCGAAGTGTCAGGGAAAGATGTAACCTTCGTTGATGAGCTCTGTCACATGATGTCATTTCTGTACTGTTCTTAATGCCATCACTCCATGTTTTCCTAGGTCTTCCACCTGCTCTATACCCATTGTAACGTTTTAGTGTGGCTTGCTGTTGCAAATAGTACCAGGGCACACAACTCTTTGAATATTTTCAGCAATAACTAATGTCTGTTACAGAGTAACCCCCACTGAAAATAGGCCAGTTATTGCCTGGCAGACTTTAACAGTATAAAATATTGGTTAATATCTCCTTTCCTGATAAAACATTTCAGCCCAAGAAGAAGAAGAGCTCAGAAATCCTACATGGTTTGAGCATCGAGGAGAATTAGCTCATAAAGAACAAGATCCTGTCTTGGAAGTTGAGCTACTTCGGCCATGTGAAGCATCATGGTGGCCTGGAGAGAGTGGTTTTGGAGGATACAGTTTCATGAAAATGATGCAGAAGCAGATCTCTGTGAAGGTTAATACAAGCCAATGAAGAAGCGTTAGTTAACAAAAGCACACAGGGCTGGAGAACATTCTCTAGAGAAAGAGAGACTTTCAGGCATGCTGTGATAAGAGTGACATTCTGTAAACAGCCTGTGATTGATGATTATTTAACTAAAATGTCATTACATGATCATTAAAGAACATCCCTATACTGAAAACAAGAGGAAAAAGTGACAGGGCATAAATCAATTTGTGAATCTCCCTATGTGGGTATCTCCCCATGTGGGTATATCCCTATGTGGGTATATCCCTATGTGGGCCCCATTGTGGGAAAACCAGAATAGACCCTCTGGCTCCCCAACAAGTATTTCGTAAGAGTCGACTAACTGGGGGCTGTCTTCAAAGTCAGAGTGCATCTGCCCGAGATGCAAGGAACCAACAGTCTGCATACAAATAAAGAAGATCTGTAAAATTGATATGCATGCAAAACTTAGGTCCTAGAACAAACCTAAAGTCCAGAAATTGACAAACAAAAAGGGCTTTCCGTGGGGGTTTACAGATGGTGAAGGCAAATGACAACTATTTGTGTATGACTCACACTCCCATGTGGAACCTGGTGTATGTAACCAATTTACCTGTATAAGTGCATTGTACTTGGTGAAGAGCGACTGATATTGGGATTCCAGTTCATCGAGTATAGACAAACTGGCATCTTCTCCAACCTGAATCTCTTTGGCATCAGAAGCCACTTTGTTGATGGATTCTGGAAACATGTTACACATGACTGTCAATGATAACACATTAGATAGCATGAATATGTTAAGTACAAAAAAAGTACAGGACCCTTTTCCACCCCTTAAGACGTATAGGGCATATAGGGCTAGACCTATATTTTATAGACCAATGGCACAAGATGGGGGATGTGGTCAGCATCACACCGGCCGCCTCTACTTTCGGAGACTGCACCCGGTACCCACTCAAGACTGGGTCTCGACCTGGGAGCCAAGGTCATTTTTGAAGAAAAGTCCGGCTCCGTCAGGGAGCGAACCCACGACCTTCCGATCCACGGCGCGCGTCTAGCCGCTCTGCCACGGCGACTCCCATGAATATGTTATGTAAGTAAAAAAAAAAAAATGACCCTTTTCCAGGCCCTTGGGCACATTGGGCATACATGACTAGTCATGTATTTTATAGACCATAAATATGTTATGTTTTGCTGGGCAAAATGTAACCAAACTGCCATATGCTTTTGTTCTGATCACTGACAACTGGGATGAATGAGGTGTTAGTTTGGATCGCTACAGGCCAAGAGGGAAACCTGACAAATGTGATACATATACAGATCTTCTCAGGAATCGCCTTCACTTCACAATCAAATCCAAATGATGTGGGCTTCTGAGTAACCATCACCATCAAGTGCCTTGCCAACTGGTGTAGGCGTTCCTGCTTCTCCACAGGTCCTGGTCTTTGGTGTTGTAGAGATCAGTTCCACTGATGATATTTCGACCACGCCACTGTCCTAACCTATCTACCATCATTTCTCTTGGTCTGCCTCTGCCACGTCTACTAGTGATCTTTCCAGTCATCACGATATTTTCCAGTGCTCCTTATCTCATCATATGACCAAAGAACTTTGTTTCCTTCTCATTGTTGTATAAAATGTTCTACTTTCATTAGCCATTTCCAGGCAATCATTGTTTGTTATTCTGGAAGTCCAAGGCATTTGCAACATTCTTCTCAAGAATCACATCTCACTTGCCTCCAAATTCTTCTTAATTTTGCTGTAAAGGTGTCCTTTTTGCAACATGACAATGCTCAACTCCATTGAAGACATCCACTTTCAGTGTGTACCACACCCCCTGTACACTCCAGACCTAGCCTCAAGTGATTTCTACCAGCTAGGAAAGGTGAGTCACTGGGAGAAAAGACTTCTTGGTCTGTTGAAGAGATACATGAGTGCATGAGTGGTTACAAAATGGCAGTCCTTCTAAGGGTTGCCAGATCCACTCCTAAAATTGGAAACAGCTAATCAAAAAACCGCCAAGCCAGACCACGCAGACAAGTCGAAGCAGTGAAACGAAACTTAGGCAAAACTGATCGCCACTCAGATCAAAAAAATCAAGCTCAGATAGCAAAGAAACTCTCCTTGATAAAGCAGGCCTTCGGGCGGCTAAAAGAAAACTAAGCTTGGAATATGTGTTTGTTTTCTACGATTATGATTACGAGTGGTTACACAAGCAATCAAGAGAATATTTTGCTACAGGAATCCTAGCACTTTATCTGTGCTGGAGGACTTGCACTAAATGTGACTACACCAAAAAATTACACACTTGTTCTTTACTTTTTTCAAAATATATTCACCCCAACAAACTAACAAACAAACAAACAAAACAATAACAAAAAACACTAAAACAAAACATAATCAAGGTTTTCATCTGAAGTCCCCTCATATATATATATATATATGGCCTCAGAAATGAGATATCTGAAAAAGGTGGTCCAAGTGACAAGAAGGGGCAAAGTTCACAATCAGACAAAACATCAAGATTTTGATACCCAGTCCTTACAAACCCTGGTGGATCAGTCACAGTTACGATGGTTTGGACATGCATGCAGAATGAAATAAAATCGGTCACCATGGCAGCCATGGGAGGCTAAGAACCAGGGAACCAGACCTCCAGGACGACCCAGGGTGCGCTGGGAAGACAACATCCGACAGTCCCTAACTGACAGAGGACTGGAATGGAACAAAGCCAAAAAGAAAACAGCTAAAGAGGCATCTGGCGATCTCTCTGGCAAACCTCTAAACCCCAAGGTAGAAGAGGAGCGACTAAGTAAGTAAGTAAAGTATATATGTATGTATATATGTATATATACATATGAATTCTGAGAGTGACTGAGGACAAGAAAGAAAAATTAAATACATTGCAGAACAAAAATTCGAGGAAACTGTTGATCATTAATTGGGATAAATTTAAGAGGGATGAAGAAATTTGAGAAATATCTGAACAGCCATTGGTATTAATAGTTAAAAGATTGAAAATCAAATGGCGCCACACTGGACACATACTGAGCAAACAAACGAAAAAAACATTTTTTAAGGGTCACAAATTGGGCACGCAGGCCCGTCTTAAATTCGGCCCTTTTGAACACCCATCTTTCACACAGCATATCAAGGAAAACACAAAAGCATGGGTGGTAAAATTCATGTGCGCACTCGCATACATACACACTTGCATACACATGCCCACCCACCCACTCTCTAACAATACACACCCACGCACGCACACCCGCATGCACGCACATACATACATACATACATACATACATACATACATACATACATACATACATGAACCCATTAGGCCTGTCCTTGCAGAATCTAAGTCGATATGTGGATGTAGCAGAAGATATGCTGAACACGATTATTACTCGGGACAAATCATGGGTGCATCACTACCCTCCTGAATCAAAGCATGCTTCAATGCAATGGAACCATCCTTCTTCACCTTGTGTAAAAAAATTCAAGGTTACACAATCAGCAGGGAAGGTTATGCTGACAGTGTTCTGGGATTGTCACTGAGTGCTTTAAACCAATTTTTTTTTAAAAAAGGTGACAATGTGAATGCTGATTCATACTGTAAAGCTTTATTGATGCTTCATGATGCAATTTGAAGAAAACGTCAAGGCCTGCTGACTAGAGGAGTACTGCTCCTTCATGACAATGCCAGACCACATACAGCTCGGTTAACTCAGGAACTCAGGAGAGAATTAATCCTCTAGGGTGGGAACTTCTGGAATATCCACTTTACATCCCTCACTTAGCCCCTAGTGACTTCCACCCCTCTGGTCCACTGAAAACCCACCTTGGCGGGAGATATTTTGCTAATGATTCAGCAGTTGAATGTGAAGTGAAAATTTAAAAAACAGAGCACACAGTTCTATGCAGCAGGTTTAGGAGGACTGATAAAACGATGAAAGAAGGGCATCAATGGAAATTATGCTGACAAAAAAAGGGACAGTGTGTGTGTGTAAAAATAAATATTTTCAAGTTGTCATCGACCTATCTGTGTTTTGTTTTTTAAACAACCATCTGTCAATTACTTATTCATCTCCCCTCGTAGGTTCCAGAACCCTATTGGGGTAGGGAAAGAGGGGCAGGGGGGGACTAGATGTGCATGCAAAACCCAATTTCTGCAGCAAGACTAAAGTCCAGAAGTGACTGAACAACCAAAAAAGCCTTCAGCAGTTTACAGCTAGTGAGGATGAAGAAGAACATTATCTTTACAAAAGCACAAACACAAAATAATCTCACCTGTACTACTATACAAACTACCTCCAGACTCCAGTTTCACAGCCTTGGCCTCTGACCTCAGCTGAGGGTCATCATGCTCCAGCTCACTCAACATCTTTGTCTCCGGCTCATGCAGCTCTCCATGTATGTCTGTACCAGCAGCAGATACTGTTACATATCGCCTGTATGGCTGATCCCAGGTAGCCATCATATTCTCTAGCTCGTATTGGATTATAATGGCTTCTGACAGTTTGGTTTCTAAGACCTTGACTTTATTCTCCAGGCTTTGATTCTCTTCCGTCAGCACAGAACACTCCACATCGAGATCCTCCAACTTCCTTCTGTCAATTGTTTGTTGGACCTTTAAATGTTGGACCGAATCTTGCAGTTTCCTGATCTCGTATTCATAAGGGTTCAGTGGAATATTTCTGAACTGATCTGACGCTGTCCAGGCCAGGTTTTCAAAGTAGAAGCCAGAGTTTTGACCTTTAGTGTCGCTGAGACTGAGCCTGTTCAGACTGGATGTTCGACGTTTTTCTGGAGCCTTCTTATTGATCTTCTTTTCGGCAGCCTTAAAGTCATCAAGCTTCTTTTGCAGATCATCAACTTTATCTTCCAAGTGGCGAATTAGAGTTGCCTGTCTGGAATATATAATCAACAATAATTTATTTCCAGTAGTTTTCAATATTACATCAGTTTAAAACTGGGGGTCTCCACTGAAAATTAGTCAAGCTATTTATTTGCCTTAAAGGCAGTGATCAATTTGCATGTGTAAGCGTTAGCATGTAATGATTACACTGTAGAAGGCAACACGTGATATTTGTCTCCTCATCGCTTTGCTGTTGAGAGTATGCCTGCGCAGCTTGCATTAAAGTACTAGTAATTGGTAGCTTTCACATAATAGTTTCTGCATGAGTTGTTTAAGCATGCAGCGAGTGCACTTTTTGCAGGTGACTGGCCCTTCTGTTAAAAGAGAGACTAAGCCCTTTAGAATAAAACCCAGTTCAATGAAGTTGGTCCTCTCTTCTTATTCTTAAAGTCCATGCCGTGTGAATATTCTTTGCTTTGTAAAATGCCGCCTTTGCTTGAGCTATTTGACATTTACTTCCTTAATACATCTTCCATCTGATGTTATCAGGGTACCCAAGTACTTAAACATATCAACTTGCTTGAGGTTTGTGCCATTCACTTTGATGTTGCATTTTGGAGGGTCAGTTTTCTTTGAAATTACCATCACATGGTGGTATCAGAAATCAAATGTGCAATATTTTTTTTTTGAGTCTTCTTTATTCTTGTTTTTTTTTGTCTGTGTTCGCTGTTAATTCTTTCTGGCCCAGACATCGCACTATGTGTGACTGAGTATTAGTTCAATTATCAATTTTATTTTTGCATCTTATGTTTAGTGCTGAAATATTTTGGTCATATCAAGCGCCATGACAGATTGGGAAAAAATAATAGCAGAAGGCATGGTACCAGGAAGGAGGGGCAGGGGCTGACAAACACGAAGATGGGCACAGGATATAAGTGACTCCTTGAGTATGAAAGTGCACCAGGTGGGAGAACTGGCAAGAGACCGAGTTTGTTTCAGGCAGACCGTGTTGAGAGCGACGTTCTGTGCTACATGATGATAATGATGTTTAGTGAGGGACTTTAAAGAACTCTGACAACATATTTGATTCCTGCAAGTTTTGTATATTTGGAACCTCCAGGAGTAGTACACTTATGAGTTTAATTCTGCCATTCGTAACTCCTTCAGACAGTAGCTAGGACCTTGTGGGACTCAGGAAGTTACAAGGTGGTTAGCACACTGTATTGTGGTTTACAGATAGGCTGCAATATCTGCACCTTTCAGCCAACACAATCAATTTTAGCACAACCCTAATAAGTCGCCTTTTATGATATATTTAAAAAAACGTACGGTGAGTTGATTGGTTTTGAATTAGGATGACCATATGTCCTATTTTAACCGGGACTGTCCCATTATTTTGGTGTGTACTGGCGGTCCCACCTGCACTCCAAAAAAAAAAATCATCAGTTGACCCATTTTATAAAATCTAGGATATTTTCTCCTGGTCATGCCAGTGTGTTAGGAAATTAGCAGGCAGACAGAATGGCAGGTTCTGCTCCACTTGGTGGTGAATTGGTGTATTACAAGCTAGATGATGTGAAGACAAAGTGGGAGTGAGTGAACAGTGTGGAGACACAAATAGATCATTATGGCCTGAGAATAATGGTGCTAGGCAGAGTTACCAGGGAATCTGGTTGATGCTCGTCACTCAGAGGAAAGACGAGATGGATGTACAAGCAGACAGTTACTGGCACCATTGCAACTGGAACTTTTTGCTTGCTGCTGAGGATGGGGATTGAGTTCTTATACAAGTGTCCATAGTGCTCTAATGTCAACTTTTAATTCAACATACAAATCTAGGAATAAGCTTAAGAATCATTTGTTCTATACACTACATTAGGGAGTAAAAGATCCCTTTCTGAGTCTTTAGACATATTTAGGCATGTCATAAGAGGTGACTAAGGGTAGGGTTGGGCTTGAGGTTGGCTACCTCATCCTGTAAAAACAGCCACAAAAACTAACCAATCCATGGATAAGTCAAAAAGAGAAGCAAGTAAAACCCAGCCAACCAAGAGGAGGGGAGGCTCTTCAAGTAGAAGAACCATGACACGGTGTGGAGAAAGCCGTAAGGAGTCCGGATCGTTGAGGTACCTCCTCTCAGCTAGGAAAACCTCCAGAATTGGCACCTGGAATAATGAAGTTAGAAAGATGGGGTGGACATGGGGAAGGCTTCATGTAATGGCGAAGGATATAACGACTTGGCGTGAGTTTTGAGGGCCTATGCTCCATTGGGGGATAAAAAGGCAGAAGAAAAAGACATAATGAGCATACAGAGCTAGATCTATACTATATAGACCACTCGCCACTTGATGGGTGATGTAGTCAGCATCACACCGGCCACCTTTACTTCCCAGGAGTGTATCTGGGTAACCTTTCAAGGCTGGGTCGGCCTGGGAGCCAAGGTCAGTTTTGAAAAAAGTCTGGCTCTCTCAGGACGTGAACCTACGACCTTCCGATCAGCAGAATGTTAAATGTCGAAATAAAAATCGACATCATAGCACTCAGACACTCCCATAAGCGCTCCCCCCATCCCCCCCCCCCCCACCCCCCTTCAGTAGCAAACAAAGGTCAGCAGGCGAGCATCCAGCCACTATACCATGGCAGCTCCGCCTACATTAGTGTGTGGAAGCCATAAAAACAAAGCATGTAATCCATCTAGAGAAAAAGGGTTTAATATTATTATTTTTTTTTTTGTCCTTCTGATACCAGTGTTGTGGTTTTCTTTAATTGTCTTGCACTTCTCAGGTAGCTAAGGTGATGGATTTGTTTCTCTATTTGCTGGTTTCTGCTACACCATTTATCCATCTCTTTCTTGGTCTTCCTCTCGCCTTCCTCCCAGATGTTCTGCAGTTTAAAAAGTCTCATTTGCAGTTTGATCTGGTTGCAGTCTCACTAAATGGCTGAACCATTTCATTCTTTGTCTGTCAGTATAGTCCAGACATGGTCTTATTCCAACTGACTCTCTCCCTAATGCTGGTATTCGTAACCCTGTCTCTTCTTGTATTATTGTTAGTGAACTTGCGGAAACAGCAAATTTCATATGTAGTTATTTTCTGTTCTATTCATTGTCCATGTTTGGCACTGAGGATAAAAAGTAGGGATAAAGATGCTATTAATTATTTGATGTTTTGCTGGAAGGGAGACATCTGGGTGTCTAAGCAGCAGGGACTAACTGGCAGGTGACAGCATTTGCCTTCTTACTCTGGCTTCTATCTCTCTATCGAGTCTGCCATCCTGTGTAAAAATGTTTCCTAAATATTTGAATTCTCGTACTATTTTGATTGTAGTACTGTTAAATATTAATTAATTAGTATGTCTTATACAATTTATAAGCTTATATATTTTTATGTTACTGAAATGCATTTCCTTAATATTTGATAATAATAGTAATAACTTCTATAATATTTGTTTTGGGTGGGGAAGAGATAAGGGGAGAGGAGGTTATAAACTAACTTATCCCCTTTTCAATTCAAAATGTTAGGGAGTGTTTTCAACTTAATATACTATAATTACCCTATTTTGAAAGAGTTAAATAAACTATCCCATATCCTAATATAATAAATCTCAAAGTTCAAGGAAACATTCAAAAGTCACATACAAAAACAGAACACATAATCCAGACTCAACAAACTGAAACAAAAATATTGTATAATCAAGACTCAACAAACTGAAACAAAAATATTGTATAATCAAGACTCAACAAACTGAAACAAAAATATTGTATAATCAAGACTCAACAAACTGAAACAAAAATATTGTATAATCAAGACTCAAAAAGCTGAAACAAAAATATTGTATAATCAAAACTCAATAAGCTGAAACAAAAATATTGTATAATCAAGACAACAAACTGAAACAAAAATATTGTATAATCAAGACTCAATAAGCTGAAACAAAAATATTGTATAATCAAGACTCAACAAGCTGAAACAAAAATATTGTATAATCAAGTCTCAACAAGCTGACACACAATTGTTGTATAATCAAGACTCAACAAGCTGACACACAAATGTTGTATAATCAAGACTCAACAAGCTAAAACAAAAATATTGTATAATCAAGACTCAATAAGCTGAAACAAAAATACTGTATAATCAAGACTCACTTTTCAATTTTTTGTTTGTCAGCTCTTGCCTCCATTATAAATTTCTGGTTGTTCTTTTCAAGTTCTTGGGAGGTTCTGTCTACCTCTTCATAAATTCTGTTTCTTGATTCTGTCATGGTCCTCATCGTTTCCATCTGGGACTTTAGAAACTGGTTGAATTCAAACAAACAAAAATTGGGTTTCAATATTTTGTTACTTTTCTTCTTTCTACTTGATGTTTATCATTTGAAAACTCTGATCAAGATAAAACAGTTTCAACCATTACATTCATATTTGAGCACTAAATTACCAGCTGGGAATTGCTGGGGCGGAGCGGCTAGATGCTCGCTCGTGGATCGGAAGGTCATGGAGTGGCTCCCTGGTGAAGCTGGAGCCAGACTTTTTTCAAAAATGACCTTGACTTCCAGGTCGAACCAGCTTTGAGTGGGTACCGGCTGCAGTCCCGGGAAGTAAAGGCAGCCTGTGTGATGCTGACCACATCACTCATCTTGTGCTGATAGGTCTATAAATATATCGGTCTAGCCCTATATGTCCTAAACCCCTTAAGGCGTGGTAAAGGGAGTTTTACTTTAGTTTTTTTTTTTTAAATTACCAACTGTTGGTGATTATTACATTTATATTATTTGATGCTTTAATTTATGTGACTTTTTCTCTAAATTCTTCCTAATAGTGCTAGGGATGTTTCATTTTGTCCTATTTGTAATCCTATTTTGTAAAACTTGGGAGTGGAGATATGGGGGTCTTGCGATATATTCGGTGGGTGAGGGGGGAAAGGGGCACCTGAAAAAGACTGAAAACTACTGTTCTAAAGAAACAATGTTTGGACAAGATAATGCATAGCACCAGAACCAAACACAGCTTGTGACTGCTAAACACATCAGCAAGAAACAAGAAATCACCTGTATCTCCAAACCCTGGTCCTGATTGACAATCTGCAGCTGATTCAGCTGGGACTCCAGCTCTCGGTTCTTCTCCAGCAGGGCTTTCCCCAGCTCCGCAGCAAGCTGAAGATCTGAAAAGGCACCAGCAAAAATTATTCTTTCTGTTGGCATGAACTTTTAGACATTATTTTATCTTAAGTGTCCCTGTGACGAAGTGGTTTAGCTTGATAGCATTACGCTCCGACTGTTATGGATTCATTTTTTAGACTGCATAATTTAATTCCCAGATGCAATACTCTGAGCTATAGATTTCCTTTTGATAATATACAAGAGCAACATTTTAAGAATACCATTATACAGCATGAATGTTGGAAAATGACAGCGGGAATTACACATAAACTTGAGACATTTCAAAATAAATATTTAAAGAGAATTCTACAAATATTTTAGCCAAACAAGATCACAAATTAAGAACTGATGAGGAAAACAGAACGTGCATCATTGGTAAATGTTATCAAAGTAAGACGATGGAGATGGCTTGGATGTTTGCAGAATACCCTGTCACACTCTGGCAAAAACAGCTCTCCGTTGGACAGCAGATGGGAAAAGGAGACGTGGAAACCTGGAGAAGGACAATAGAACAGGAAACGAAGAAATATAAACTGACACGTGATACCATGAGCAGAAAAGCAGCGGAACAGCAGCAATGTGAATGCCTTGTGTCAACAGCGACATGAAGAGGATATAGAAAGATTTCCTTTGGAATGCTTTTCAACTTTTCTGAACATGGTTTGTGCTGTAAATTGGAGATTCAGAAAATGGTGAATGGCCTGTTGCAAGAGAACTGGTGAAGCCTTATGTAATCAGTGTGTGCAACCATAGATCTCTTGTAACTGCTGCTTCCATCACTGATAAACTGCATTTCTAGTGCCAGACTGCTTGTGTTAGCACTTCCGGTGGTTGCTTTATGCCTTTAATGTTAGGTATACAAGGTCCAACAATTAAGTAATGAGACTGATTTTATTATGGCTAAGACAAAAATGCCATCTATGAAGCAAAGCATGGAATCTAAAGAGGCAACATTCATTTATGATCTGGCAACTTTTCATTGCTGCTCGATAAGCAGGCAACAAACAAGCCACCATTTTGTTAACCTAGTCAGAAGTACTGTCGTGAAATGATAGCCATTACGCATCGGTCTGTAAGGCTGATAACCTGACTTACCTGTAATCTGCACAAAATTCAAACTTGGACTCGCCCAGAAATATATAGTCCCTTATATCTATATATATAGGCCTTTATGGGACAACATTATTATGTCTACCTTTTCTGGTTACTTTAACTAAACTCCACTTTTAAATGTATATATCTTCGATATATATTAAGGGAGTTATTTGAGGTTTCGTGAAAACCGATTTACTCCTTGCTCATGTATACTAGGGACTTCTTTTTGCACCAACGCCTGAAGTGTCTAAGTGACGCTATTCTCTTTGCCAGCTTCCTAGCGTCCAGACGTGTCAATCTATGCCTGTATTATTTCATCTTTCAAGGCGATCTGGAATGTCTCAGTTTTTACATATGCTTGGGTAAGTTAATAATAGTTTACGAGTACCTAAAATGATGTCTGTAAAGTAGTCACTGCTGTAGAGAGATCAGTATCGGCTGTGTGATCACACTTAGTTCGACCATTCTTGATCGCTAGAGAAGCGGATTCGAACGTAGACCTTCCCCTGTACAGACTAAATAGCTTATGCCCTCAATAAACCACCCATACTGGTAAAACTTAATACCTTTACAAGTGTGTACGTTTTAAACTAACTAGAGAAGTTGTGCATACCAAATGGGGACAGAATTAGGTCAGGACTTTGTTAACCAGAGTATGTGTGTGTTTGACCCAGATCAATGAATGCTAGGGCGAGCGTTGGGAAATCTAGGGAATGCAGGTACTGACAGTAAATATTGGTGTCTGTGTGCAGAGGGAGGGGGAGAGAGAGAGTGATATATGTGTTAGAACACTTTATCTATCTCCACTGTATATCTGACTTGCCTTCTCTTGCACTAAACAGACAGATGAATATAGGAGACTTATGTCTCTTGGTCTGGAGAGGCAATCTGAGGAATGAAACAGGAGAGCAGGGGGGAGTCAGCAGATGGGGGTTGATGACTGATGCTTGTTCTGTCTTTCCTGTCAAGATGTTACCCTCTTGGTGATGACTAATTTTGAGTTATTTTCTTGACAGGATGTATCTTTTGTGAGGAGCTGGCAGAAGTTTCACAGTCCAACCAACACCCATCAAGCAATCAAACAACCCTAAACTAACTGTACCCACCAGCTAACACCTGTGAAGGTTCCTGACATCTCCAACATGTGGGAAATGGTACCTCAAACAGCCTACCAGTGCTAAAGCTTAGAGTAGCTCAAAAACAATGTGTATTCTACTTGGTGATAGAGACTTGCTAAGTACCAGTGCAGTATTGTGTCCTCTATGGTGAGGTACTCTCTGACTATTTGATCCAGTGGAGCAGAATTCCCAGAGTCAAAGACAGTCGAATCATCTGGAGCTGAAGGAGGCATCATAGACAGAAAGGATAGAAGCTAAGTCTGATGCTTCATGTGCTGTTTTTTTCCTCACAGCTCATTTGTTTCCAATGATGACATATAGTCACCTCCAGGACCGGCTGTCTGTATAGTTTCCTTGGGATCTAGACATTAGTTGCTGAGATTCTTTCACTGATAGCTGGAATTCACTTCAATATTATATGTACATACATTATACTAAATACATGCATTCATTTTCATGGCTGACTTAGGTTTCTCTATGTCACCTTTTTAAGTGTTTAGCAGTTGTATGTGTATGTATCTTCATTATATGTGTTAACATGGTTATGATAATGACTTATCATAACCTGGGGGCTTTCTTTAGTAAGTAGTGGGGGTGTCCAGCCAAGTGTGCCTAGAAATATTGTATTCATATACTGATATATTTTGTAGTGCCAATACTTGAGTTGCCCTACTCCAGAGATAAGTTGAGTGTATATTGGCCACGGGGAATCCCTTAGACCAATACGAGCCAAACGACTCAACATAATTATCTCTGAGTGCTGTTGGTTCTGAAGGAGAAATCCTTACATTAGGCACGCGACAGGAGTGATATGTGACAAGTGCATTGTTACGTAATCAGCACGCCGCAAAAAGCTAACATTAAATTCTTTTTAAAACTCAGAAAAAGCGCCACTGAAACAGTTGAATTGATGCAACAAGTTTATGAGGATAATTGTTTATCTTGTGCACAAATTTTCAGGTGGTATTCACGATTCAAAAGTGGTGTGGAAATTATTACTAATGCACCTAGACCTGGACACCAAATTTCTGTTCATAGTGATGAACACATTGCAAAAGTCAGAGAACGGATACAAGAAGATCATTGTTTTACTGTGAGGATAATGGCAGATGAATCTGGTGTTAATAGAGAGACCATTCATTACATTTTAGTGCAAGATTTTGACAAGACAAAAGTTGCTTGCCAGTTGTATCACATTCGTTGTCTGATGACAAAAAACATCAGCGGGTTGAGTACCCAAGAGACATCATCAAAACAAGAATTTCTGGTCCAAAAACAGGTTTGTTTTTTCAACCTTCCACCCTATTCCCCAGATTTGTCTCCCTGTGATTATTTTCTATTCCCAAAATTAAAGTCACGATTGAAAGGACACTTATTTAATGATATTGATGACATCCAAAGGGCCGTAACATTGACTTTAAGGGCCATAACAACAGAAGAACTACAGAGGTCGTTCCAGTGTTTGTTAGATTGTGCCACCTACTGTATCAATGAATATGGTCTAATGGCTGAACGCGGTTTCTAAGATCTCTCCACGGGTGATCATCATCCACGTGGTGGCACTCTGTGTCATCAGGTGTTTATCGCTTGTGTGATGTCCTGGTAGGGTATAAGTCTACTACTACTATTTAATATGAATAAAAATAATGTCCACAGATAAAACTGGCTGTCACCCAAAATAATACAATAAATGGTGAAGAAATTGAAAACGTCACAAGCTTTTAATATCTAGGCTCTATAAAAAATAGCAATGGAGACTGTTTGACAGAAATTAAAAGGAGGATGGCTATAGCAATGCTAAGATTAAACAGCCTAAAAAGTCTATGGTTAAGCACCAGCAAAGAGATCAAAATTAGAACTTTGAGAGCATGTATCTTTCCTGTGGCTACATACGGATGTGAGTCGTGGACTATCTCCCAGTCCTTAAGAAAGAGAATAGGGGCTTTTGAGCTGAAATGCTATAGAAAGATTCTCAGAATATCTTGGACGAAAAAGAGGAGAAATACTGACATCTTGAAAGATCTGAACATCAAGGGAGATTGGCTAATAAACAGCATCCTGTCTCAGAAGCTGAAATATTTTTGTCATATCAAGCGCCACAACAGAATGGAAAAAATTATAGCACAAGGCATGGTACCAGGAAGGAGGGGCAGGAGCCGACCAAGACGAAGATAGGCACAGGATATTAGTGACTCTTGAGTATGAAAATACATGAGGCGGGAGAGCTGGCGAGTGACCGAGTTTCTTTCAGGCAGACCGTGATAAGAGCGACGTTCTGCAAAGGACCTGCTACATGAGGATGACTTAATTGTCGGACCTTGTACATTGGCTTTGCTGAGACTGCAGTCTGTGTCAGCTATACCACAAGGGACATTGACAAGGGACAAGGGACACTGACAAGGGACATTGATAGACCTTCTGTGTGGCTTTTGCTGGCACAGGAACAGAACAACTATGGCAAGGCTATTCAACTGGCGGCCTGCGGGCCAAATCTAGCAAGTGGCCCACAGATCATTGACAGTTTGTATTGTAATAATGATCTTTCTATGCTAAGGTTTAGCCCTCTGGCCCGTGACGATCCTAATTTTCCATATTTTGGCCCCTTGGTAAACTTAGTTGAAAATCCCTGAACTATGGGGTTGACCTGTTCACTATGACGTTGGAACTACTACATCATTACAGGTGCAATTTTTACGGAGATCCCTGAGGATTGTTGCTTCAGAAGCAGAGTTCCTGATTACCAGAATGCTCTTAGCAGGTAACCAGCCGCTCTGTAAAAAGACCTCTTC